CTGCTGCTCCTCCTCTTCTTCTTCTTCTTCTTCTTCTTCTTCTTCTTCTTCTTCTTCTTCTTCTTCTTCTTCTTCTTCTTCTTCTTCCCCCCCCCTCTCTCTCTCTGAATCATGCAGGGGAATATCCTTAGTTGAAACTATAATGACATTTTGGTCAATGGTGGAACACAACAACAAATCCTATTGCCTAGTGACACTGTAGCTGGTGTAATTTTCCTGAGCAACAATTGCTTATCTGTTTGTGGTGATGCTGGTGTAAACAAATTTACTGCATGCCGATCATATGAAAGTATAGGGCATATAATTGGTATAGTACACAACACTTCATAATGACAATAAATGGCTATGTTACACTGTATTTCCTACACCATACTTTTTATTACTGTGTTAGCATGTATTACTATTTATAAGAAACATTTACTGAAATCAGTTGGCTGTGGTACTTGTATAACAGCCTCATACACCTGTGTTTACTGTATCTCTCTCTCTCTCTCTCTCTCTCTCTCTCTCTCTCTCTCTTTGTTTTACTTTTGATCTTTTTGAGATAGGATCCCCCTATGGTCCCAGCTGGCTTTGATCTTACAGAGATCAGCCTGCCTCAGTACTGCCTCCTGAGTACTGGGATTAAAGGCGTGTTCCACCCTGCCTGACTTTACTGTGTATCTTAAAATTTTATTTTTGAATATCAATTTTATTTAGAATATAGACTATTCAAATAAAAATGAATGAAAATTTATGTATCTATGACCATTTAAGAAAACATTAAAATGTTCTACGACTATTAATGCACTGAATATAAATATCCCCTGATATATGAATTATCAAGTATAAGATTCAGATGTTGATATATTCCTATGAAATATTTTAATAAAGACTTCTCAACTTCATTGTTTTTCCCCTGAAAGGCAATATTTTAAATATGTAAGATATTTTAATGAAAATAATATAAGCCAGCTTCAAATGTTTTGACTTTTAAACATACTTTGCTTCATCGCGCAATATACCAATCACAGTAAGTCATAAAAGCATAAAAGGTCATAATGATACACAATTTGATGCAAAAGTGTGTATCTTAATTGCATCAAGGAGCCTTGTGAACTTAATAGCATCAAGAAGTCATGTGAAGGGCTGGGGTGTGGTTCAGTGGTCAAGCATTTTCCTAGCATGTTACACACACACACACACACACACACACACACACACACACACCAGCCACTTAGTGATGGAGCTCTACCATCTAGATTTGTGCAAGTATACTAATGACATAGAAAAGAGAAGAGAGAAGGGAGGGGGGGAAGGAGAGAGGAAGAGAGAGACAAAGACAGGAGACGGACACACACAGAAACAGAGAGACACACACAGACAGAGAAAGAGACAGGGAAACAGAGAGGGTAATTGTTCCTGTGGAGAACCCTAATACAAAACTGCAGACCCAGAGAAATAACAAAGCACCTAACCTCCCCAGTGGAATCTGGGTGTGCCACCCACTTCAAATCCAGGGATCTTGTGTGTTTTAGCAGGATCCTGTGCCAAGCTTCAAGGCCTTGGGTCAAGTCAGGAAGGGAGCTCTTAAACAGGTTTTGAGATGAATAATTAATACCAGGAAGTGAGAGCTAGGCCCCCCTGTGGCCCTCTTCCGGTCTGAATGCAATTTCAGGAGAATTAAAAAGTCAAGCTTTCCTGATTGTCCTTGGCTGGTCAGCTATCATGTATGCACACAGATCTGTGGCATCATCATTTAAGGATCTCCCTTGTACCACTGGGCTCCCAATGCCAGCAGGCAAGCACGGCTGAACTTAACAAATAATCAGCTGGAGTGGTGGCTCTCGGCTTGCTGCTGTGTAGAAAGGGTCTGGACCTCATGGTACTACTGCCTTCGATGGTACATAGCCATGGTGCACACAGTTTGTGACTTGCCCTGTGTGATCCCATGCTTTATGTTCAGTGGTAGCTCTGCTGGATGAACCTGCCCTGGTGCTCACCCTGGCCTTCTTTCCAGGCTGTATGCATTTACTTTTGGCCTGAGAAGAAGAAAGGAAGTCTTAGAGATGGAACTGAAGGACTGAATGGAGCAGCACCCTTAGCTGAGGCGGCCTCCGCTTCCCCACCTCAACCTTGGCTTTGTTGGTGTTTAACAGCCCAGCAGGTGTCGCTCTCTGCTTAGTCACTATAGACTGGGGATGGGAGGGGGAGAGTTCAGGGACCAGGAAAGCACCTAGAGGAGCATTGAAGGTGGGGGGGGGCACCACTGATGGACAGATGACACTGGTGACCCTTTCGATTGTCCATCCTCTACTCATGCCACGTTTATCTGTCACCTGAGAAATGAAAGACCTGTCTGTGTGGCTGAGGGTACAGAGGTACATTGCCCTCATGCAGTTAGAAGTCTGGAAAATTCTGAAGTTCTGAGAAATGGCTCCTCTGCTTCTCCTTAGGGATTTTCCAACTTAGATACTGACTTTTTAAAAATCTTTGGGGCCTCTGGTCTGGTAGTTTGAGGAGCCTCTGAGTTGGGGAGGGGCTCCTGTTGAAGGTGAAGTGACCAGTCAGGACTAAGAAATAGTTTCCCGGAGGGTCAGGGAGAATCAGCATAAGATGTGCTGTGCAGTCTGGGGAGGGGCCTATACCCCAGGCTCCTTTTCCCAGAATCTCAGGGATTGACCCAGACACAGGCCTGCCTGCTCTTCCCTCAGGAAGCCCATCACTTGGAGGTTTTGCGTATGTTTAGGAGTTGTGTTTCTTCCCTCGCTTTCTGAACAAGCTGGACATTGTCTGGGAGGCAATGGTGCTCTGTGGGGCTTGGGCTGGCTCTTGTTTTTCTCCCTGGCCTAGACCAGGAAATAGGAAGGAATAAAAAGGGGAGGAGGGAAGGGGATAGCCAGAGTGGGAAGCAAAACTAATTTTATTTCTTCTTTTTTTAAAAATTTAAGACAAACTTTGGGATAGAAATATCGCAATAAATTTGCTCTTGTGTTTGTGTATGTTTTCTCAGTTGTAAAGAAAATAGGGAGAAATTCCACTCTGTCTGGGTTCCAAGCATCTCTGGGGCTCACTGAGTCTTTTATGTGAGGAGATCAACTTTGCCAGCCCAAGCCTGTGGACAGGAGTCCTTTCTCAATGAGAAGAAAAGTGAGGCAGTAGAAAGGAATGGTACATGTAGGGGCCCTGGGGTTGGGGTGATGGAAAGGAGGGGGGCTAAGATGGATAGCTACGGGGCTCACGGGTACAGGGAATGGATGCCAGATGATGGTCCCAAGGTCCCTGTGTGTCAGGAATTGGCCTTCTCAGGAGAGAATTATTAGGAGGTTTGACAGGAGAAAGCAGCAGGCTCCAGTTTTCCAGCTGAGCTGAGGGTGTGTGTGTGTGTGTGTGTGTGTGTGTGTGTGTGTGTGTGTGTGCATGCCCCAAGCCATGGCCTGAGTCCAGCAGATCATGGAATTGAATGAGAAGCTTATCCTCTTGCTCTGAATTCCTTTTCCAGCTACTTGTATGGTTGAGACCCTCAGACTCAGGTCCTGGTCCTGCCGGGATACTTACTGCCACTTACAGGATCTACCCATGCTGTTTCACAGATGGAGTGAGATGCTGTGCCAGTCAGTTCTCAGCTGGCTGGGCAGTGTACCTTTGGCACTGTACCCACACAGACCCTCACACCATCAGGCTCCTACCTGTGTCACTTTCTCCTACCTCTCAATTGTCAGCCCATGTGAGCCACTTAGAACCCGTGGATAAAAGTAAGGGTACTGGTTGTCAGGAGGGATGTTTCCTGCCTGTGATAAGCATCGAAGTGGCAGTTTTCCATGGAGAATAAAACTGTTCTCATTTCAAAAGAAACATCATCACCCTTCCAAACATTAGGAAGATGGGAAATGAAGAAAAAAATCACCATCATCTTCCATCCTAGTTCAATCAATGTTAGTGTTTGGAGATTTTTCTTGTCTTCTTCCTTAGGCATTTACTTGTTTTTTCTAATTGCCATCTTTTTGCACCTTTTTTCAACAGAAGTCAGTGGGTCAAATGACAGTTTTT